ACTGTAATAATAAAAACCACATGATAGAGGCATAAAAACATACAAGTTGGCCAATGGAATCAAATTAAGACCCAGACACAAATCCACACACCTATGGACACTGAAATTTTGGCAAAGATGCCAAAATTATACAATGGAAAAAAGAAAGCATCTTCAACAAATGCTGATGGTCTACCTTGTTGTCCGTATGTAGAATAAATAGATCCATATCTATTACCCTGTACAAAACTCAAGTCCAGGATCAAAACCTCAACATAAATCCAGATACACTGAATATGGTAGAAGACAAAGTGGGAAACAGTCTTGAGTCCACTGGCACAGAGACAACTTCCTGAACAGGACACCAATAGCTCAAATACTAAGATCAACACTTAATAAATGGGACCTCATGAAACTGTAGTTTCTGTAAAACAAAGGACACCATCAAATGGCAGCTTATAGAATGGGAAATGTCTTCACCAACCCCACATCTGACAGAGTGCTGATTTCCAAAGTATATAAAGAACTCAACAAAGTATACATCAACAAACCAAATAATCCAATCAAAAATGGGGTACAGATCTAAACAGAATTCTCAACAGAAGAATCTCAAATAGCCAAGAAATACTTAAGGAGATGTCCAACATCCTTAGCATCAGGGAAATGAGATCAAAATTACTCTGAGATTTCATCTTACATCTGTCAGAATGCCTAAGAATAAAAACACGAGTGACATCTCATGCTTGAGAGGACATGGAGCAAGGGGAACACTCCTCCATTGTTGGTTGGAATGCAAACTTGTACAGTCACTTTTGGAAGTCAGTGTGGCAGTTTCTCAGAAAACTGAGACTCAACCTACCACAAGACACAGCTATACCCAGTTCTTGGGTATAGGCCCAAGGATGCTCAGTCATACCTGACAGACACTTGATCAGCTATGTTCATAACAGCTTTAATTTGTAGTAGCCAGGAAATAATCTAGATGTTCTTATCATTCAGCAAAAGAAGAATGGATTAAGAAAACATGGTAAATTTGCACAGTGGAGTATTATTACTCAGCTGTTAAAAAACAAGGATACCAGAAAATCTGAAGGAAAATGGATGGAACTAGAGAACATTATGAGTGAGGTAACCCAGACGCAGAAAGACAAACATGGTCCATACTCATTCATGAGTGGATATTAACTGTAAAATAAAGGGTAATTATGCTTCAATTCACAGACCCAGAGATACTAGGTAACAAGGAGGTTTTATGGGGGGGATGCCTGGATCTTCCTGGGTAAGGAAAATAGTAGAGATTTTTGTGAGTGGACTGTGGGTGGGAGGGGATGGGAACATAAGTGATCAGGTTGGGGAAGGGACGGAAGGGGAGAGTACTGAAAGAGACTACTGGAAAAGGGATGCGTTGGGGGGTCAGGTAAAAACCTGGCACAGGGGAATTGCCCAAGAATCTACAAAGATGACCCCAGGTAAGACTCTTAGCAATTACAGATATTTAGCCTGAACTGACCATCTCCTGTGACCAGTCTGTCACTTACAGTCTGTCCTACTTATGGGATGTGCTGGGGTAAGGGAGTCCTGGAGATTGAGGAAGTGTCCAGTCAGTGCCAGTCTAGTCTAAAGCCCATGCCAGGAGAGTAAGCCAACTCCTGTCACTGCCTGGAGCACCAGGACCCAGAGGCTGGACCTAGAGACCTAGGATAGAACCAAATATGACTGGAGGGGAAAAAAAAGTCAATGTAGTCATACCTAATGATATCCTACCGTACTCCTAGATTGGTGCCCAGTCCAATTGTCATCCAGTTGGGAGGGTGGCTTCATCAATCAACTGATGAAAATAGGTGCAGATTCACAGCCCAATATTAGGTGGAGCTTAGGAAATCTAGCAGACAAGGGGGAGAAAGGATTGTAAGAGCCAGAAGGCTTAATAACACTACAAGAAAACTTACAGAATCAACTATCCCATTCACAAGTTCTTAGCCACTAATATGTACATAATTGTAATGCTAAATGAACTCTCTCTCACATGCTAGATACAGTGGAAAAAAATAATTGGAAAGTATAAATTTGGTAAACTACTAACAATGAAGAATCTACCCTATAGGAAACTTCAAGTAATATTGTTTACATATGTGTGTACATGTATTTTAAACAATGTGTGTGTGTGTGTGTGTGTGTGTGTGTGTGTGTGTGTGTGTGTGTAACAGTTATATTAAAGGAAAACATAAATTTGAGATAAAGTGCAGGGACACAGGGAGTTGGGGAGGGGATGAAGAGGTAGAAAGAATATAAGTACAGTATTTATGCTTAAAAATCTCAAAATAGTTAAATAAAAACTGGAAAGTTAAACTGGTCATGTATTGCACCTAAGTTCAATCCCTCCTACTGAGTGTGAAATACAAACACTTCTAGTTTCTGTAAAATCACATTTTACAGGCAATTGCTTATTATTTAAACACGATGTACCCCTATTATTATTATAAAATGCCTCTTAGAGACACTCAAAATAGACATAGTGCAAAAAATGGAAAATTGACTACTAACAATGAAGAATTTATACTATGGGAAGTTTCAAGTGATGTTCCAGAGAGCTGTGCCTCCATAAATGCCCAATGGGTAGGTAGATGGGGGGAGGGTAGATAGACTGATAGACACAAGGTAGACAAGTGGGATTTTATCCTGCTACCTGTAAGTGAAGTTTAAATAAAGACTCATACACAGTGTAATTTCAAATTGCTTAAAGAGGATATTAATATTGTATTTATTAACAGAGAAATAGGGGAATCACTATTCCTTCAACAATATGCACAGATAAGAACAGCTCTCTGAATATGTAACAGGACAAAGGGACATGTCCATGAGCAACACGAGAACAAACAAAAGAGTACATTTGGGTATGAATGCTCTCAGCTTCGTGTCTCCAAACTGAGTATGTTCACCTTAGATTTTCTCATCAGAAGGGGAAAGCTCTTCTGATCCCCAAGTTCCACCTTCTAAGAATCTGTCAAAGGACTGAGAGGAGAAGCTGAGAGCTGAAGCTAGATACTAAAATCCCTTTGCATTAAATGTGCGCTCATCAAGAATTACTGCAGCAGGAGCATAGGCCAAACAGTCAGATAGGTGTTACAGCTTTAGACACTAGAAAGAGATCAAGAAAATGTTGTGATGTCTCAAATACAATGGCTTCTGGGAGACTTGGAAGCAGTTTCCTAACACAATAAAAACTTGAGATCAAATGTTCTGTATAATGCTGGAAGTGGTCGGGGTTACTCTGAAGAAGAGAAATAGGAACAGAGTCCTAAACTTCTTCCAAAGAACATAAATTGAAGAAATGGCACATTGAGTAAAAAACTTGCTGTGAATGTACAAGGACCTGTGTTTGAATTGCTACAACCCCCATGAAACCAAGGGTATTAGTGTGTATCTGTAATTCAGAGTTCCTATGGTGATGATGGAGGCTGAAAGTGGAAAATCCCTGGAAGCTCATAGGCCTGCTAGCCTAGTGTAGGCTGTGTTCAAAAACAAAGAGACAAACTTTTCAAATAAGGTAGAAGGGAAGGACCCAGGCATGTGGTTATCTTCTAAATTCCACATACATGCTCTAGCGTATGTCTGTCTGCATTCACACACACATGCAAATGCATACACACACACACACACACACACACACACACACACACACACACACACACATGCTAATCCAAAGTCGTTCAAAACAAGGTGACTTCCTTATTATGCTGCAGGAGGACCTCATGCAATTTGAGTCAATTAATAGCTAAGGTGGAAATGAGAGGCTTTGTGGCAAGCAGGGAAATGTGGGAAAATGTCTTATTGATCCAGCGGATGCTTGTCTCTCAGGTGGAGTTGATGTTCTGAAGCTTCACAGTGAGAGGGTCATTGTGCTCTGCTTCATTTGATTTCTGTCCATATCCCATTTGATAATACCGAAATGTAGTGGTAGTAATTAACTGTCTACCTTCCCATTTCACCCTTGTCTACATTAAGGGTTCAAGCAAAAATTAAAATGAGGATTGTGACAATAAACTGTGTATAATTACCTCATCACATATATACACAAAACCCTTCCTTCCATGAACTGCTATTTTAGGTTTATTTTTCCCTAATGATCAATGTTAAAAAATACAGAAATTTGTCAAGTTACAGATGTATTTTTCTGCAAATAGGTTAAGTTTATTTAGAAAAGAAAAGGAAAGAACAAGAAGGAAAGAAGGAGGGAGGGAGGGAGGGAGGGAGAAAAGGGAAGGAAGGGAAGAAGAAAGGAAAAAAAAAACCTAGACAGAGTTGGCAAATAGCTGTAAAGTCTATTGTAAGTTGCATAAGGACAGAATGCCTTTTTCATTACCATTTCACTTGAAGAGACTCTTTTCTGAAATAATGATGGGGTTGTTAGACCTAATTCTTCTGTGCTGCAGAATTCCAAATCCTCCATCTACCAGCCATCAAGCTATAGATCCTATTTAATACAGCTTGCATTACGGCTAGAGGTTCCCAGGCTTCCCAGTCAAATAGTATCAAGCCTAATATAAGAAATAGTTTTCTAGAGTGAAAGTCAAGTAGCAACCATATGAGAATTGATTTCTACCCACCACAAAGCAATGCAAAAAATACACTTGAATCCAACTGTCTGTGCAGATATTTTCTAATATGATTTAGTATAATATTATAACTAACTATATCTTATATGAAATTTGTCATTTATTTAGTACAGAAAAAATAGCATATTGCATATACATAAAGATTTCTTTTAAATTATTTCTTTAAAAAATTAGTATTGTAGATAAATAATGATTCAGCCCAAAGAAGGTAGGAATCCTTCAACAAAATAAAAAGGACAGGTTCTCACCAAATTATTTTGTTTCAAAAGAAAGGCAGACCAAGATGTGATGCGCACATGTATGATACATAATTTATAATAATTTTTAATTATGGTTCATAACTATGAACATGAAAGTAGAAAAGGAACTATTTGGGAAGAGGAGGCAAATTAGTTGGAGGTGGGGGAACAAGAGACAGAGTAATGAGAGGGAGTGAACAGAACCAGAATATATTACTTATTTATGAAAACGAGATGTGAAACCAATTACATGGATATAAGACACATGTTAATAAAAACTTGGGAAATACATATGTTATATTTTGCATTTTGTCTTTAAATTGACTAACTACTGGGGCTGAAGAGATGGCTCAACAGTAAAAGTACTTGCTGCTCTTCCGTGGACCTGAGGGAGGTTCCCAGGCATGGTGGGTGGCTCACATCCTCCAGTGGTGGCTCAGCTCCAGGGAATTCTATACCTTCTTCTGACTTCTGTAGACACCTGCACACACAGGCACAAAAATAAAAATAAACAAGTCCTTAAAATTCACATTTCTTCGATGAATTTTTCCTAATAGTTGATGAATTATCAAGATATATAACAAGTTCCTACTGGGAACATAACTTTGAGCCCTCTGTAGAAGCCTGCATCACAATGGGATAGATTTACACTGTGGAGGACTGCTGTAGGATGTTCTGTATGTCCTGTGGGAGCCCTTCTTGGGTTGTTTGTGGTGTTACCCAGCAGGTCCGCATAGAGGATGATTAGGACCATGGGCCTGAGTGCAGGTGTCTGAGATGGTCTGCACTTGGCTGTGCTGGGGGATGGTCTGTATGTCAAGTTG